CCTGCAGCAGAGGAAGAGGGAACAGCACGGGTAAATGTACCATCACTACAAGCAGAACTTACAACCACCACTGATACAAATAAAACCTGCAGAGAGCAACTGACAGTTAATCAACTACTAGCCAGCCCAAAGGAAGCTTATACATCCCTAAAGTAGGAAGTTGGATTGTTCATCATCAGACAGTTCCTTTCACAGTCTCAGGATGGGGAAACCATTCTCCTCAAAACAGGTGGCCAGCTAATAAAATAATTTTTTAAGTTGAAAATAAAGACATTCATTTTCGAAACAAGAGATAAGATAATCCATTTTTAGCCCTTAGAATAAGTGAAAAGGACCAAGGCAAGGAAAACAACTGACAAGGTAACAAGGAAAACTGCTAGACATAGATCAAAGGTAGTAGCAGAGACCAGGACAGCTGTGAGTGGTAGTGCAGCTGGTACCCAGTTGAAAGATGAATTATGCACAATGGGCAGACTGGAAAGGGAGCCACTATAGAAGGAGGCCTTGGGAAAGGAATTTAAAATCACCATTCCAAGAGGTGACATCCTGGCAATGGAAGCAGACCTTGGCAAAACATGGTACAAAGTTAGAAAGCTTAGGATGTAAGAAAAACATGAACAAAAAATCATTAAAAACCCCAAAGATTTTCTGAAGACCTTAGATATCAGTAACAGTAACTGTTTTGAGTTTGTATCCAAATTTGCCAACTGCCTGAATACCCTCAATCTGCTTACAAAATTACGATACCTATTACCTCTCTACAGATGGTTTGATCAGTGAGGACTATCCTCAGAGTGCTGTTGCCTTTTGTTGTGAATTATAGTCAGTTAGAATTGGTTATCATTTTAGGAATGGAAGGCTGACATGGAACAATGCAATCCCAGAAAATGAAGTGCACATAAAACTTGGAGGAGATGCTGGTGGTGGGTCATTTAAAATGGCCTTCCAAGTTGCTAACCTGAGGCATCCAAACTCTAAAACCAACACAGTGGTCTTTGCCATGTTCCATGCAAAAGATAGTTGAGCTAATTTAAAGACAGCCTTAATGAAATATAAAGAACAAGTAAACACCTTGAAAGAAGCAACCTGGGAGTAAGTAAAAAAATATATACCTCACTTTTAGTTAGTCTAGAGAATAGAGACTTAAAAAATAACATTAATTAAATTCTTCTTTTTGTTTTGCCCATTTCTAGAGGTGAAAAGAAAGTGGTTTTCCTGTTTGGTAATTGAATTCCTATGCAAGTTATTTGGAATAGCTGGTGCCTCAGGTATGATCTAGACAGTAATTCACATATACAAATAATTATGATTTAGCAATTCAATAAAAGAATATAAATGTAGCCTCTACTCTACATTACTATTTCTGTGAAACAGGTTTCCACAATGAGAATTGTATTTGTAATGTAATTCTCTTGCCATAAACGTGGGCATGCTGAAAAACAAAGCCTTGAAAATGTTCAAGAGGATTATGATAGGTTTGTAGCAGATGGCTCTCTAACAATCGACAGAAGTTTTATCACAATGCAGGGCGTGAAATTGCGCCTAATACAGGCGCCAATGCGACTAAATTTTTCACTTTGGCGACCAAATCCTGAAAGTTAGACGCCAAATTGGCGACTAGAATGTTTCATCATAACCTTACCAAGAGATATGGTGAATTAAAAAGATTTGCAAAGATAAATCCGCGACAAACTTCCTCGTTAATTTTGTTTCCAAAACGTAGCACATGCATCTCGATCGATAACTAGACGCCATCTTGGATTTAAGTGAGCTTGAACGTTGTATATCATCCATCCTAGTGTCCACTTTGTAGCACGTTAGAGATCTTTTCCCTTACTTAATTTTGGAGAGTTTATCTAGAACGCTGACAGCGTAAAGAAAGGTTTTGTTTGTCTTTGAAAATGGCGACCACCTTTTTTTGAATTGGCTACCACTTTGAAGAATTTAGGAGCCAAATGGCTATCAGAAAAAAAAATTAATTTCAAGCCCTGCAATGTGATTCATGAGAAACTGCTGGACAATGAATTGGACAAAGTAAGATACAAGAGTTTATTTTGTTGCTTTGAAGAGGGACTTACAGGACACCTAACTAAATGGTTCCCTATTTCAGGTTTGTGTTCCTGGACTTCACATCAGCCAAGATGTGTTTAAGAAACTGTTTGATGAACTAGAGAACCAGTGCTTTGAGCTGGACAAAAAAATTCAAATGGCACTAGCAGGAGACAGTGAAGAGAATGATGAAAAGTTCCAGGCATTCAGAGCTGCCCAACTACAATTTACAAGAACAGCACAACAATTTAATGAAAAAGGCAATTATTTACAGGAGTTGCTGAATTTACAAAGTCTGCATGCTAATGTATATCATGCCTGCCTGCTTTACACTACTACAGGAGGAGATAGACAAACTCCTTGGAAATGCAAAGGAGGAGGTAACAATAATGTATTTGTGCTTTCCAGTATCACAGCTGTATAGTTCTCCAATTCCATTGCACATGTTTCAAACCCATCTTAATTTTTTTAGTTAAATAAGTTATGATTTTGTTTTATAGATCATTTATTTCTAATATTACACTGGCTCAAATTTTCAAATTATAGCTACTATAAACAGTAGGTCAGATAACCCAGATTTAAATAGTATTGTCTAAACATTATAGGAAAAGCTTGCAAATGAACAAATGGAATTGGCTGCCTTTGAGAAAGCCAATGGACCACTACCAGTTCATTTGGATGAGGTTCTCAAGAAAATGAATTGCCGAGAGACAAGCTTACCATGGAAAATCATTCATTGGTAACCATGTGCACACTTGCTGCAAGGTAGCACAAATTCTACCCTTAGAATAGGAATTTGTTGAGTCACAAAATTCTATTGAATTTTTTTTTTGGTAGGAAGACAACATCATTAAACTATGCAGTGCTGTGGTGACAAAAACAGTGGAGCTGTGTCCTTCCTTCCTTTCTCAAGCAAGAGAAATTAGCGTGAAATTCAAACAAGTTTTCAAGTTATTTGCTGCTTGCCACTTTGTCTATGACAGTGCAGACTATCTCAATGATAGCAACATTGATAAGCTAGGTAAGCGAAAGAAAAAACTTGACTTTCATGGAAAACATGAATACAGTAATAAAATCATGTCTTAAGTCCACCTTTTCTTGTTTTCTTGTTGCAGAGGAAGACATCACAGATTTTCCTCAGTTCATTAGGGAAAAATTCCCAGACATGACAATTACACCAAAGCTGCATATGCTAGAAGAACATGTTTGCCCTTTTCTTCGACAATGGCACATGGGCCTTGGATTCTATGGTGAACAGAGGATTGAAGGAATACACTCTGAATTCAATACCCAGTCCCAGCATTTTGACCATGTGAAGGAAAAGGATACGAGATTACTTCAAATTCTTGTTAACCACCACATTGCCACGAGTCCGGAACTAGCAGGGAAAGCTCCCAAACCTAAAGAAAGAAATTTAAAACGAAAAGCGAACGAGTAAAACTCTTTCCTTTTCACTAGCAATGTATCGGTTCGTTGACTAAGAACGAGTACTATGTGTGTAAATCTAGTGTAATTTATTTACTCAAGTTCTAATTTAGACGAATAAAATTGTTACCGCACTCTTTGAAATCAAAACTAAACCTTTCCAGTCGTTTACAATTACGCTGCAAGTGTGAGGAAAGAGTGACTCTTTTCTCAGTCGAAAGAATCGCTGCTAGAAACAACTACCTTTAATTTAAGTGACTAAACCTCCGGCAGCCGGACTTAATAAATTCGCAGCACCGTTCGCAAAGAGACCGAAGGTTGAAGGCGAACAATCCTTTTGGCCCAAGTACATTATGATAGTGCACTTGGTCCTCTGCGAGAGCTTTAACGGGCGGTACAATAGATATAGTGACCGGTTTCTTCTAAAGATGAGAGGTGATCGATCGCTGGCGCTCCTTGATATATATTCAAGATTTTTTATAACCAGTTGGTAACGAAATGGAGACATCCTTACCTTACAAAGTCATATCTATGGTTTTCTACTGTTCTTCTTGAAATGTCTATTCCAAAAGTCACGCAAACTTGCCTTAAAACCTTGTCGTACATCGCTGTTGTCTGAAAAGTTGACCATGAAAGAGTTTTGTTCACCGTCTGGTTCGTTAGTTTGAAAATAAATTACCAACTCTAGCCAATCAGAATTGACAAAAGAATCGGCAAGAGAGGTTAACCAACAAAAAGTCATTATGTGGTCACCTTTTGGGGGGGGGGGGGGGACGGAAGGGGAGGGGCTACACGTAGGCTAAGTCAGTGGTCACCAAAACGCTTTTCCACATAGGCAATCAAATTAAGAAAAAGCACTGCGTGTCAATGTTTGCGCAACATTGACGTGCTGTTTGAACTGTTAGGTTTGCAGAAACAAAAAGGCTTTGATATACTAACGTACGCGCATGTAATATCTTATACTTGTCTAAACTGGCAGTGATTGACGATGCTCGGAATAAAAATAACCTTATCACGTGAAGGCGTTGTTTTGATTGTAGCAGGAATGTTTGAAAAGAATATTTCGATATTTCTCCGCCCTGATTCTTAATCAAAGCTAATGTGGCAAAACAGGAGTCAGTTAAACAAGCGTCATAAACGTTACGGTTTAAAGAATTAGAATGAGTCTACTCATTATAAGATGTGATAGAACTCTCATTTAAATTGCGTTTGGCTACGAATTAATTGTATCTTATTACCTCAACATATTTTGAATGTGATCTTTAAATAAGGTTGACATTTATGTTGTGATCCACGGACTACATACTGGAGGACTATTGAAAGCCAAAATGTTCTTGCTCGATATAATTTGTCTTAGGCCAAATCCCACAATAATCCAAACAAAGATACGCATCTCTGATATTCAAACAGACAACAAAGAGTGTCTATTTCGGTGACCTCTCATAAAGAGAGTGAAACGCGGTTATTCCCTCATTCTTGTACACTCCGGTAAAATAATCTGCATGTAGACGTCTCCAAAATGTTTTACTTTGTTTAGTTCACGCGGAACATAGGTGAACATTGATGTTCACAGTTTGAAAGAGGCCTGTCACCTGTCACAATTAATTCCTGTCACCTAGACAAAGCGCTTTTATCCTTTATCAAGCAGGAAATCTTTCCGGACAAAGGCTTCTCAAGCACAGTTGCACGTACCCGCATTCCAGCGTCAGTTGCCCTCGCGCGGTGAGATCGATATTGCAGTTAAAAGCAGAAACATTCAACAGGAGTATATCATTTACGAGCAAAACGAGCCGCGAACTACATGCAACATAATCATGAGCTCCAAACCTTGCCGTGTTGCTCAATGGACTCCTTCTGACTACAAATTTCTTGACAAGTGGTTAGACAACTTGATCATAGAAGTTCAAATTAAATACAAAGATAAGTTAGCGCTATTGATGGCTCTTCATCCTCCAGCTGAAGATGAAGAAACAGCTAGTGGTGAAACTCCGCCGGTAGTTGCTCACAGTACAATGGAAGACCTCGGTCTCCATCCACCCGTTCAAGAATTATTGAAAGCTATCATCTCCAACCCCGAGATCAACATGTTTTTCCATCAAATGTTTTCGCAACAGTTCAAGAATTCAGATAGTTCGAAAGGGACAAGGATCCCTTGCTGGCAACTGATGATTGTTTTAATCGACCACATCATGACTACAGCTCCAGAGTACAACAAAACCAGTTTGGTTAGTTTCCCCATCAACGCAATCCTGAACTGGCCGATGGCTACGACCGCTGGATTTGCTGCTTTCCTCAACGACAAAATCAACAGGTTGTTCAAAAGTATTCTCAACTATTGGGGAAAGTTTCTTTCCAGTTCTGCTTCTTGTTACGTATTGAATGATGATCCTCGTCATGGTTGGTTTGGTGAAGACGCAATGCAAGCAATGCCAAACTTCGACCTAGAGTTCAAATGCAAGCCCAGAGAAAAACATCATGGTTTTACATCATGGGATGATTTCTTCACCAGAGAGTTTCGTAATGGTATTCGTCCAGTAGAATTTCCAGGCGACGATTCCGTTGTTGCAAATGCCTGTGAGTCGGTGCCATATCAGATCTCTACAGCCGTGAAAAACAGGGACTTCTTCTGGATAAAGCACCAACGGTACTCATTGGACTTCATCCTAAACATGAGTGACCTTGCCAAGCAATTTTATGGTGGAACCGTCTACCAAGGGTACCTAAGTGCCACCAGTTACCACCGATGGCACAGTCCTGTGTCGGGCACTATTTACAAGACAGAACTCGTAGATGGTTCTTATTTATCTGTAACCCACGACATTCAGGATAACCCCGCACCGCCCAACATATGCATGTCACAAGGATACCTAGCCCAAGTAGCTGCCAGGGGTATTATCTACATTCAAGCTGATAATCCCGATATTGGCTTGATGTGCTTCGTGTCAATCGGTATGGCAGAGGTGTCCTCCAACGAAATCACCGTTAAAGAAAAGGATAGAGTGAAGAAAGGTGACCAGCTCGGCATGTTTCACTATGGTGGGTCCACCCATCTTCTGATATTTCGCCCCGAAGTTAAAATTGAGTTCGATACGAGAGGTCAAACGCCAGGTCTGCATACCGATAATATTCTGGTGAAATCGAAAATTGCGACCGTACATCCACAATCTTAAGGATTTTGGCAAAAACATCTTGATTTTGTCAGTGTTCGGTGTGAACATGATAATTTTCTTTCTTTCCTCCTAGGAGATGTCTCTTGACAATTAGGAAATTGAATTTTTTTTTATTTTCACCTCGTCAATTGTTACTAAAGTGTTTGGCAAGAACTAAATTTAGAAATATCCTTGCTTCGTGTCTGTGAATTGTTTAGGCCTGTTAGAATATTTTGGAACCCTTATGCGAGTCTCGTGAGCCTTGGTTTGTTATGTGCTGCAAGACCACACATTTATTTTACCTTTTGAGTATTTGGTCCTCGACCGTTGTAATAGGCCTGTTGTACGATAATTGTCATCGCTGGCCGTGTTTTCGCTAGTCCTTGCTTAGAGTCCTCATGGGGAAATTTTGCTCGAGGTTTTAACCATCGAAGTTTGGAAGTATTTCGAGCAAAACTTTTTTGTGCCACAAGCATGTCTAATAATTGATGGTGTATTTTCAAACCGAAGCCTTTAATAATTTATTCTAGCATTTGTGATGTGAGTTCTTAGAAAAACTATTAACCAAAAGTTTCTTAACTCACATTTGGAGTGAAAGATATTCTCATGATTTACCGAAAGTGCGATAATAGTAAACTTAATCCTCGATGTGCACATTGCCATTTCGTTGATTTCCGATATGTAGAAATAAAGTACTGCAAGAGTATCAAGGGCTTAAATGTCTTGCTTTCAATTGTTCTTGTTAAAAACATCACATTCCACACAATACCTCACCTGGAGAACAAATTCTAGCCTCGAGCGAACCTATTGGTATATTTTTAGTAACACAATTGTCAATGTGTGCTAACCCAACCGTTCAAACAATAGACCAAAATTAATGAGACTGGCTTGAATAAGTGCTGTGGGATTTCAAAGGTGTTCTTTGATATATACATATCTATTTCTATATTATATAGAAACCTTCTTTGGGCCCAAGCCAGGAATTTAAGCTTTAGTTTTGTAAGAGATTTTCAAAATGGCCTAAACATTGCGCTGTAGTAAGTCAAGCCTAACAACTTCTGCCAAATGAAATTAATAAGTCATCATCATAGGCTTAGTATCTTTAAAGAGAACCCCATTGAATTCGAACAGTTTTAGTAATCTGATTTTGCATCGCGCATAATCCCTTGGGGGATACGGCATTATACAAATATTTTAAGACTGACTACAACAATATGCAGCTTTCGAAAAAGAAGAAATTCCAATCCTTCATACACAGAAAATGTTGTAACCAGTGCAACACTGGCTATGTTTGCAGATGACTCTAAATGTTACAAGGTTACTAACCACCATTCTGATTACTTGCATCTGCAGCAGGATTTAGACGCGCTTTCAATTGGTCTTTGTGAAATGAGTTGTTTTTTCAGCCTACTGAGTGCAGCAATTTGAGGATTTCTAGGAAGCGCCTTAGTCCTCCTCGCACCTATGTTTTAAATGGTATTAATGTGGAGGTTGTCACAGCCGAAAAAGATCTAGGTATTATGATTGCAAATGACACCTCTTGGAAAGATCACTTAGTCATGATTGTAGCTAAAGCTAAAAGGATGCTTGGTTTTCTCAAAAGGAACTGCGCTGGTATTGTTGGTAGTACGGTGCTTTTGCGTCTTTACTGCTCTTTAGTGCGCTCTCATTTTTGTTTTTGCTCTCAGTTATGGGCCCCTCAATCAAGTACCAGCAATTTAATCCTTGTTGACAACATACAAAGGAGAGCTACTCGTTTTATCTTAAAGAATAGTAACCTGTGTTATAAGGCTCGTTTAATCAAGCTTAAGTTATTACCGCTAAGTTACTGGTTAGAATATCTTGACTTAGTTTTCTTTTTTTAAGTGCCTTCATGGGCTTATAGATTTCACTCGTGAATTTAGTTATTATTTTTCTTTTCTAAAGGGCAACACGCGCCGTGCTTCATCTGGGCTGCATTTAAAGTTAAATGCCTGTCGTACGTCTTCCTTTCGAGACTTTTACTTCAACAGAATAACTTGCATAACAATCAGCTGTACTTCTAGAAGAGGTGCCAGTTTTCAAATTCCTGAACTCCCCCTTTACCTGGCGGTCGTTGCTTAGCCCAATCCTTGTCTTTCCTGTGTATTCGACAAGATGAGAACCTGAGTAACCTGAACGTACCTGGACGTGATTAACAACAGTGCACCGATATTTGTTTCGAAGGAAACTATAGGCTTAAATAGAGATAAGGTTTTCCTACGCCTGTAAGGAAACCGAAGTAGTTGCTTAATCACCACCGAAAAAAAAAAATGATCAGCTAACGGAAGATCTCAAGCTACTGAAGGGAAGGAAATATCGAGCGGAAAGACAGACAGACAGACACGCGAAATAAAGACAGATGGACTGATGGAGAGGCGTAAGGATGGACTGGCTTAAGGACGGCAGAACGGACGGATGGATGGAGGGATGAAGCCGTGGATGGGTGGATTAACATAAAGACGATTGAATAAATGGGCGGACAAAAAAGATAAATGGACTTTTGCGCAGGTAAACGAACCACTAAGATATAGTATTACGATTGAGTACTTAGCTGGCTGTAGCTTGGTCGCAAAATTCTTCAACTGAAAATCTAAAACCCTTGAACTCCAAGATCTCGTTAGTTATTCTTCTTACTTTCTGCTACACAATTTTTATGATGTCTATTTGGAGAATTTGGTAATGGCACAATTAAATATCCCCTAATTGATATTTTTGTTTATTCTCATCACTTCTAGGCTTGATATTGTCTTGATATTTAACCTAGCTGGTGGTCTGCGGTTTTGGGGGCAGAGAGAAAAACCGCAGACCACCGGCAACGTAAGCTACTTGATATTGAGAGGTGAAGGGTTAAAAAATAATGAAGAAAATTCAGCCTTATAATATTACATTGACCTAAATCAATGAAAGTCACAGGAGATTAGTTTCCTGCAAAAACCACAAGCTGAAGATAACGTACGACTTGAATGTGTTTTAAAATGTTCTGGGAACTTAAAGAAACATATTGTCACCATCCAGGGGTGGAGGGGAGGGTGAAGGTATAGCTACTATTAACGCGCCATAAGTTTAATGATTATGTCCTTTGCATGCGTATAACTTTTCCCGCCCCTTCTTTCTTATGTGAGTTTAAAAGCGTTGTTTTCTCTCAGTTTTAAGGCTTTATAACCGACATGTCCCTTTCGATTGATTTTTGTGACATTAGCTTGATGGACCTTTGAACAAAAGTTATTTGGATGTTAGATTTAAAAGTTTTGTGGACATTGGATGCAGTTAACTTGTTTATTAATCGATTTGTTGTAGAAAAGCGAGTCTATCCTAAGTTAATGCATAAAGGGGGTAAGTTTCTAAAGAAACTGTGGTGCTGCTTCGGTGGGAGAGTATAGCAGGGTGATTTAGGATTATCAACTAAGTTGATAACGTAAATTAGCCACCTTAAAGAGTTCAAAAGCGTTTAAACTCTTTACGGTGGCCAATTTACGCCATCAAGTCAGCTGATCGGTCAATGACAATCCGAGTAGCTAAAGGTCTTAAAGAGGAGAGTGAAGTGAAGTTAATGGAAGTGGAATTGTAACAGAGAACAGTGACTAGAGAAGACTGAAAAGACAGGCCGAGAGTCCTTGGTGCATTATTCTTTGGCAAAGTGTGGTACTGCAGCTAGTTTCCCCGTCATTACTGGGATACTTGTGATAGCCCAGTCATAAAATGCCTTTGTTTTTTTGTCGTCTTTTTTTTTTCCTCCGCCACAAAATGGAAAAATTGCGCAATGGTACCCAGTGGTCATTGGGCCCTCAACACCATGACAACTAACTGTGATCCAATGAGGTGTTCACATGCTGACACGCGTGTTATCTTGATGATGATTGACGTTGTCATGCATGGACAGGGCTGGGTCACATGACGAGCATGAGATTTTTGCTTATTAAACTCTTTTGTCAATCGATTTGTATTTCAACCTATTTGGATTACGATCACCTGTAACATTATTGCGCAAACGCCCAAAATATCTACAGACGCATACACAAGTCGTATTGTTCGCGGCCAGTCCACACTAAAAGATGTTATTGAGCGGTAATTTTAGAACGGATTGGGTCGCGAACGCTTGAAAGCCATGAAAGCCTTGAATGCCTTCTATGCCTTGTATGCCAATGTCTTAGTTGAAAAACGTACACTTGTTGTAAAAAGCAAAATCTGAAATCTGAAACCAAGCTGCATATACTCTATGCAACCTATTGAATAACACTACTACCGTGAGACTGAAGAACAAAACTCTAATAGATGCAAACTGCTTGTGAAGAAAGACGCCATGTGGGATTCACTTGATGCCGGGGAACGTAGCTACGATAACAGTGCGAGTGGTATTAATTTCACGATCAGAAAGGTGAATCTTATGTTTGTTTTCATTGTAGTTGTATGGATATTCTTTTTTAATAAATACATGATCCAAAACCCCGGTTTTTTGTGTTTTTTGTGTTTTATGTTATTATGTTAAGTATTGTTTACGCAATTATAGGCGGCCCAAGCTCGCGCCTCGAGAAAAAGCCAATGATTAATTCATGAACGCGTCACGCATTGTGTGACTCGGTGTTAAGTTACAAGAGGAACCGATGAAAATTTGAACACGTTACAAGGAATAGTATAGGGAACGAAATATGGTCGATTTACAACGATAAATATTTCGAAATATAAACATTTTTCTCGTAAAATCAATAGAGCTTACTCATACCCTGTGTATCCGTTGTAGTTTCTGACGATTTCTGCCGTTTTAAGCTTGCTTTACCATCACTGTTATTCACGTCATCTACTTTTATTACGTTGGTAAAATCGGTACAGACATCACACCAACCAACTCGCGCACAAAGTAAGAAGACTATATTGAAGGCTTGAAATTACACTATGATCGGTTTTCATCAAGAAATGGGCCAGGAATATTCCACAATAGTGCAAATAATCGTGAAGGCTGATCGCGAAAAAGCGATTGCGAGACGCACGGTAAGCTGTAAGATGACATGTTATTTTATACCAGACGTAAAAACTCAGATTCTCAGTCTGCGTTTTGTACCCTATCTGCAGTCTGCAGTCTATATTTTGTATCCGATCTGCAGTCTATATTTTGTATCCGGTCTGCAGTCTATATTTTGTATCCGGTCTGCTGTCTATATTTTGTATCCGGTCTGCAGTCTGCTGTCCGCATTTTGTATTAACAGGTATCCGTGGCACCAATACAGTTTATTTTTGGTTACATTTATTCGCACAAAACACATAATCTACCACAAAATACCTGTGTGTGAGGTAATTAGACATTTTCGTTCTTTTCCGCGTTAATACTCTTCTTTCCTTATGTAAGAATGTAGACTACTTACAATGTTTCAAGTAATCCACCCACTCTTGCATGCATAGCATGCCTGTGTTTTGAAATAGGTGTAAGCCCTTGGCCAGACTTGAGCTCACTATTTCAGTATACTAGTCCGACACCCGTAGTATCACTACACTTGATTCCAAGGATCCAGTACCATCCAGTTATCCCAGTTACCCTGCTCACAGGGTCTAGTTGCATCTCAAATTCCCTTGATAACCATAGCTTAATTTGAAAAAAGTTGCAGTCATGATAGAAAGTCTCAGAGATCAAATTTTGGTCCGTACATTTATGAAACCTTTTCCAATGAAACTAGTTTCAGGGCCTAAAGGTAAATACTTGCTAACAATGTTAGATAAGCTTCCCTGCCCGCCATTACGAGACTTAAAGGTAAAGGAGTTAAGAAAACAAAGCATGTTGTGATTATGTATCATTTCCGAGGGCTCCCTCAGAAAATTTTCGTCATTTATTTTATTTTTCTTAAACGACTCTTTTAAAGAATTTTTTTTAAAAATTATATCAAAAAGTTCTATCACGCTTTCAAAAAGTTCAAAATACACCTAGTTGGCCGTTGTCCCTCCTCCCCGTAAAACAATGCAAAATAATGCAACTTCGCCAACTTCGCACGCCATAACGCGATGCAATCCCCCTTTTAAATTTTGTGTGTCAGCAGCTGATCCTTTTATCTTTTTGAAAATATGAATATCTTGTTATTTTGTTACGTTTGAGTCTGCTTGGTAACCCGTTGAAATAATGTATTTTACGTTTGTTTCGCAGAGCTAAAATAAACGTCAACTTTAATGGCCTATAAAAAGGTATGCCATGTATATTACAAATCATGATATACATTACCTCAAAGCTTTATCCGTGTGGTTTCATTCCTTTAATTTTTTATCGTGGCCCGCCATAGGAAGCGCGTCAGGGTTAAAGACAGTTGGGGGTTGTTGTGACAAAAATGCAATGCGAACTGCTAAACAGCCATCACGGCCTATTTAAAGGCCTATAAAAAGGTCTAGTATAAATATTTACAAATCATAATATACATCATCTTAAAGCTTTATCCTTGTAGTTTGATACAACAAATTTTCTTTTTTCAAATAGGACTCGCCTAAAGCACGCTACATTTAACATAACGGATGCTGAACAATACAAAACAAGACGATCTAAAATTTTGTTAGCCCGGCTTTTTAGAAGGAAATAAGTACCGCAATTCCATTCCGTGACTATCATAGATATAAATCTGTTCGACGCGACACGAGATTATTATATCAATACTGGTCGGCTCTCTATTGAAGCTCATTATGGTTCCTAAAGATATTAAGCTCTTGACCTTTTTTGTTACTTTCATCTAAATACGTGCAGGTCTCGATGCCGATTGAGCTGTAGGTTTGATTCCTGACTTGGGCTCAGAAATATTCTGACTAATTAATAGCTCGGAGGATACCTCCAAATTTCAATCAGTTCGTCCAGTCTACGCAATATTTTCGTGCTGTTTTAACTGTTGGGTTTGCAGAAACAAAAAGGCTTTGATATGCTAATGTCTAAACTGACATTGACTGACGATGCTTGGACTGAAGATAATCTTATCAGGTGCGCTAAGAAACTAAGCTTTTTCTTCTTATGAAGGCGTTGTTTGGAATGTGATGTTGTTGGAGGGAACGTTTGCAAAGGATATTTCGATATCTCACCGCTTTGATTCTCCATCAACCCTAATGTGGTAAAGCAGGAGTTAAACAAGCGTCAGAAACGGTACAGTTTCAAGAATTGGAATAAGTCTACTCATTCTAATATTTGATAGAACTCTCATTTATATTGCGTTTAGGTAGGAATTAATCGTATCTTATCGTCCCAATTAATATAATTTGAATGTGATCTTTAAATCAGGTTGACATTTATGTTATGGTCCATGGACTACTGAGGAACATTGAAAGCCAAATGTTCTTCCTCAGGATAAATTGTCTTAGGCCAAATCCCACAATGATCCAAACAAAGACACACATCTCTGATATTCAAACAGACAACAAAGACCGTCCATTTCGGTGAATCACTTGAACCCATTGCAATCTGAAGTCACGAAAAAATAACCCCTCAGAAAGTAAGCGTAGCACGGCAATTTCCTTATTCCTGTATAATCTGATAAGATAATCTGCACGTTGACGTCTCCAAACTGTTTTCCTTTGTTTAGTTCACGCGGAACCTAGGATGAGGCTTTCACACTGGGATATTGCCAACAGAGGCCGACCCTCAATAACCTGTTAATTGTCACGGTATGAAAGAGGCCTGTCATCTGAACAAGGCGCTTTCATCCTTTATCAGGCAGGAAAAATTTCCTGACAAGGGCTTCTCAAGCACAGTTGCACGCACACGCATTCCAGTGTCAGTCGCGCTTGCGCGATGAAATCTATATTGCAGTTAAAAACAGACACATTCAACAGAAGTATATTATTTACGAGCAAAACGAGCCGCACACTTCGTGCAACATAATCATGAGCTCGAAACCTTACCGTGTTGGTCAATGGATTCCTTCTGACCAGAAAGTTCTTGACAAATGGTTAGACAACTTGATCACAGAAGTCAAAAGTAAATCCAAAGATAAGTTGGCGTTATTGATGGCTCTTCATCCGCCGGCTGAAGATGAAGAGACGGCTAGAGGTGGAAATCAGCTAGCAGTTGCTCACGGTACAGAGGAAGACCTCTTTCTCCATCCGCCGGTTCAAGAATTATTGAAAGCTATCATCTCCGATCCCGAGATCAACATGTTTTTCCATCAGATGTTCTGGCAACAGTACAAGAATCCAGATAGTTCGAAAGGGACGAGGATCCCTTGCTGGCAACTGATGATTATTTTAATCGACTACATCATGACAACAGCTCCAGAGTACAACAAAACTGGTTTGGTTGGCTTCCCCATTAATGTAATCCTGAACTGGCCGATGGCCACGACTGCTGGATTTGCTGCTTTCCTCAACGACAAAGTCAACACGTTGTTCAAAAGTATTCTCAACTATTGGGGAAAGTTTCTTTCCAGTTCTGCCTCTTGTTACGTGTTGACTGATGATCCTCGTCATGGTTGGTTTGGTGAAGACGCAATGCAAGCAATGCCAGACTTCGACAAAGATTTCAAATGCAAGCCTAATGAAAAACATCATGGTTTTACATCATGGGATGATTTCTTCACCAGAGAGTTTCGTGATAACCGTCGTCCAGTAGCATCTCCGGACGACGATTCCATTGTTGCGAATGCTTGTGAGTCGGCGCCATATCAAATCTCTGAAGCCGTGAAAAAGAGGGACTTCTTCTGGATAAAGCACCAACGATACTCATTGGACTTCATCCTAAACATGAGTGACCTTGCCAAGCAATTTCATGGTGGAACCGTCTACCAAGCGTTCCTAAGTGCCACTAGTTATCACCGATGGCACAGTCCTGTGTCGGGCACTATTTACAGGACAGAACTCATAGATGGTTCTTATTATTCTGCGACCCACAACATCCAGGATGACCCTGCATCACCCAACATGTCACAAGGATACCTAGCCCAAGTAGCTGCCAGAGGTATTATCTACATTCAAGCTGACAATCCCGACATTGGCTTGATGTGCTTCGTATCAATCGGTATGTCAGAAGTGTCCTCCAACGAAATCACCGTTAAAGAAAAGGATAAAGTGAAGAAAGGTGACCAGCTCGGCATGTTTCACTTTGGCGGCTCCACGCATCTACTGATATTCCGCCCAGAAGTAAATGTCCTGTTTGATACGAGAAATCAAACGCCAGGTCTGGATGCCGAAAATATTCCAGTTAAGTCGAAAATTGCGACCGTACGTCCAGCAGGCAAATAGAAGCGGTGAGGATTTTGATAAACATTGCACTTAAGTGTGCTTTAGATGCTAATACCCTAATCTCATAGGAGAAACTGGAATTTAAATAGGTTTGAGGATGCAAAAAGAAATTTTCTTTCATTTATGGTTATAGATTTTCTGTCTGGAACAAATTCAGTTTGTTAAAGATAGTTCAGCTGGTGTCACCTAGTATCTTAGCCATGGACAATTTAGAAAAAATCAAGAGACTTGAGATGAAATTTAAATTTGCAGTGTGGACTCTTTGAGTCAAAATCGGAAGGCAAGTTGTTTAAATACAACTCGTGGCAGGAGGAAATATGATTGATGATATATTTTCAAAACGAAGTAATAGATCGAGCACATTCTCAATGGTTGGATCACTTAGCCATTTCCCTGTTGTCGTGGCATGTGCGACGCAGATTCTTAATTCAAGAATAAAAAAATCTTAAATTTTTTGGTTTTTTGTAATTTACTAAATATCCTGGCTTTATGGGAAAATAAGGAACAGAAAAGGGTGTGTAATTACCGTTAACAAAATCGCTACTCAGTTTTGATCGACAAGATAGACGAAAAGTGATTTTAACTTGACCATAATGTCTTATAACTAAACCAATCTAACAATATCGGATGGGGAATAAATCAGTCGTTGAAATTTAACTTATAGCCAACTGTTAGACTTTCCATATTCTAATTTACCACTTCGATGATTCCTTCATTAATAATTCAAATAAAGCGATGTCCTATTTTTCCCTTAAGCTTCCAGTGGTTCGTGGATCATCAGTGAAATAAATGTCAACCTGATTTAAAGTTCACATTCAAAATACATTGAGACAGTAAGATACGATTAATTCCTACCCAAACGCAATATAAACAAGAGTTCTATCACATCTTAGAATAAGTAGACTTATTCCAATTCTTGAAACTGTAACGTTTATGACGCTTGTTTAACTCCTGTTTTACCACGTTAGGTTTGATGGAGAATCAAAGCGGTGAGATATCGAAATATCCTTTGCAAACGTCCCTTCCGACAACATCACATTCCAAACAACGCCTTCACAAGAAGAAAAAATCTTAGTTCTTAGCGCACCTGATAAGGTTACATTAGCATCGTCATTCAATGTCAGTTTAGAGAGGTATAAGATACCACGTGCGCGTAAGTTGGTACGTCAAAGCCTTTTCGATTTGCAAACCCAACAATTAAAACAACTCGTCAATATTGCGTGGACTGGACGAACTGATGGAAATCTGGAGGTATCCTCCGAGCTATTAATTAGTCAGAAATATTTCTGAGCCCAAGTCAGGAATCAAGGCTACAGTTCGATCGGCATCGAGACCTGCACGTATTTAGATGAAAGTGACAAAAAAGGTCAAGAGCTTAATATCTTTAGGAACCATAATGGGCTTCAATAAATAGGCGACCAGTATTAATATAATAATCTCATGTCGCGTCCAGCATATTAATATCTATATGATAGTCACGGCATGGAATTGTGGTACTTATTTCCTTCCGAAAAGTTGGGTCTTGGTCTGGGTATTCACAGAACTTTCGATCGTCTTGTTTTGTACTGGTCAGCTTCCTTTATGGTAAATGTAGCGTGCTTTACGCGAGGCCCATTTAAGGCCGGATTTTAACCAACTGATTGACATTTCACTTCCGAATTGTCTTGTCCATAAAAAAATTGAAGAGGTCAATTTCAGGTGACGTTGACTGAATAAGATCGGACGACAATGCTTTCTTTATTTGTTACCTTACAACAATTAGGTCATTTCTGGTGGGATTTCGAGACAGAAACCTCTTTGGGTTGATGTTGTTGATTAATGTTTTAAACTTATATCAAACTACCTTAAAACATTAGTTAAATCATTGGCAGCGAGTTCTTTCATTTTCGTGAGCTTTTCACAGTAGGGTACACACATTCTCGAAAAGCTGGTGTCCATTAACTCTCTAAAAATAACGCAGCGAATCAATCTAGTTTGTCATCAGATCCTTCATATGTCAACGCGGGAGATTCTAGTGATGGCTATTCATAGGAGTTGCCGCGTTTCAACCGAAAACAGCTAGTAAAGTGTTTGTTAGAAAACATTAACCGCGTAGACCAAAACTGGTTCCGATTGAGAAGGCTGATCCCAAAAGAAAATAGCCTCACTTGTAATCAAAGCGTACGCCAGACAGCCACCCGTAAGCTACGTTTGACCCTTCTAAACTTTTTTAGGGTCTCATATCCCCGGTGAGATATATTTGGTGAGCTTTAAACAGCACAGGCATTACAGTTACTTTAATATAAAAAGAGACTGCTTCCAATCTTTATGATCATTATTTTCCGCCTAGATCTCTAAACTGCTACATCTCAAATTGGATAATAGAGTGCGAAAATATTAAGACAAAATATCTTGGGCACTGGGAAGATATTTAAAGGTCAAACCATCAAATAATTACAGTAGTCTAGTACACAGACCTCCCCTTGCTTCTGATACATGGGTTCGAGATTACCTTACGACACAACAATTATAATCTGAGCTACTTTTTTCTGCGCACTAAGATGAGTGGTGAATATTAGCGGACACTACTTCTTCCTAGAATAGTAAAGTTCATTTTCGAAGTGTAATCTATCAAAAAGGGAGGGAAATTATTCTGTTTGTATCAGCGGAGAATCCATCATTCTATGCGAGTTTCAAAATGATTTACATAGATCATAGGAATTCTCCACAAGAAATCGAGAGCGAACGACTCAAGTTTTATAAGACTCCAAATGAGATGGTATGTTGAAGCTCACTGAATTCGATGAAGCGAAGTAAGACAAATAATAAATATTTCTTTATCATATGACCTGAAACTACAATAGTTCAATGTTCAATTAAAAGGCAGTAGAGCTAGTCAAGAAAAAATAATGGCTAATTAAATAGCTTTTCTGTCGCTTACTAGGCAATGTAGGTAACTGTGGCCATAAATTCAGTTCTCTTTACTGACAGGTTTTCTCTTTATAGTGGTTAGTCAACGTTTTCCACACCAGCTTGAACGTAAATCGCTTGAGGATTTTAAGAAAGGACTGTTAATTCTCTTTCCTTTTGGTTTGATAGGCGCTTTTAAAGCATTTTTCTAAATAACGAGCCGGTTAAAATCTAAGATTTACCTAAGGCCACAAAATTGTAGTAGAAAGCAAGAGAGGCGAGTTGGTTGATTCATTTTCAGCTCATTCTCAAAGTGAGCGCTGCACCACTCAATATCGCTAACGCCTTATGTTAAGTCCCCAACGCTGTGATAATTCCGGGGGGTTACACCTGGAAATTGCTGTTGACGCAAGTTTTTCATGGAAAAAGCTTCTTTGTCGTCTTTTTTGTCATCAATGAAAGACTTGTAACGTGTACTTCGACCAACTCCATCTTCGTGGCTTGGAATAACTTGGCGAAAATCCGGGAGATACTGAGAGGAACGTGGAGATTCTGTAAATATGCCATCGCCCACACTAGCTGAAACTTTCCCGTTACCAAACCAGCTTTTACGCTTTTGAGGTGCAACGGTCGAAGGCATAATTACATTGCCATTCCCACTGAAATCTGAAGTTTCAGGTTCTTTGATTGTTGGCATGCCTACCCTCATAACAAGGAAATCTTCGGAACCGGAATTAGAGGAACTTGTATTACTCTCGCAGGAACGGCTGGAGGAGGCGCCAGTTTCCACATTCAAAGATGTTGTGCGAGAGTCATGGAGATCATTTATTCGACGCGTACGAGATTTCCTCTTATTTTTGCCTCCTCTTCTCGCGAGAGTCTTGTCTTCGCTTGAACCAATTCTTCCTAACGAAGGCAGAGATGCCATCAGCCTCTCTGTGACACCATCTTTCTTGGGCTTTCCTTTTCTTTGGCATTCATACAACTAGAAAAGATTAGGAGAGTAACTTGAACGTTCAAAATTAATACACAAGTATTATGCCAGTATTTTTCTCTGACATACTTTTTTATGATAGATAGAGAACAATAGACTTATAAAGCAATAAGGTGTCCATCCACCACCTTCACCCTCCCTCCCCCTCCCCCTTACTCAGAAGATTCCTGTACTCTTCATGAACAACTGAGGTAGTCTTTCAACTACTACTGAAGGACGCCGAACCGCCTTACCAACAAACGAACGAAAAGGAATTAGTGAAAGAGGGAAAGATAAAACGGACAGACAATTGGATACGCAACTGTAAGACAGATGGACTGATGGAAAGGCAGACAGACAGACGGTCGGATAGAAGAGTGGATATATTGAGCAATTATTGGACGAGGTTAAGCATGAGAATTTCGATATACATTTTTAGAACAGTCTGCAAAAGAAGACACTTTGTGAGTTTGCAAAACTTTAAGACCACTACACGGAAAAGGGGCTTGGAAACTAGGCAAACTTTGAACTCGACCCAAGATCTACTGCAGATATTGGGTTCTCATGTCAACTTCACACGCTATTGTATATTGACTGAATGCTCTCCACCTATCAGAGTTTCATAGTAAGTCTTATGTGTAATGATGAAAAATATATGGACGCTGAACAGATGGAAGGCTGCATAGAAGATGGACTGACAGTCAGATGGGCGGTCGGGTGTGGGAATAAATGGACCGAGACAAAAAAAGAAATGAATAAATTATCATTTCCAGTAGATTTTGGGATTTCTTACATTTTTTAAGGCTCGTTACCTGTCTTTCGATAATGGGAACTGGTAAGGCTAGAAGAAGTACACCCATCAAAGCACAAGCTGCTCCTAGAAGCTTCCCACTGACCGTGCAGGGAACGATATCACCATAACTAAAACATAAAAAGATATATGTTCTCAGTGATTGCGGTTCGTTAAGTATGCCGCCATGAAAGAATGTGCCAAACATTGTCCTAAAAATCTGGAATTGACGAGACTGATTTCCGCAAAGGAAAATTTTAACTCCTACCTTTAATAAAAGTTTGAAACATTCCCCTGAGTTCCATAAGTGACTTCTTTGATTTACTTAAATCATATTTCAACACTTGACTACTCGCTTATGGCGCATGATTACTCACCCTAGCGTTGTCATGGTGACCAAAGTGTACCAGAAAGCTGCCGGAATGCTTTTAAATTTTGTTCCTTTCTGTCCACTTTCAAAATAGTACATGATAGACGAAAATGTTATCATCAATGCTAGAAACGAGAAAAGAATTCCTCCAAGCTCCATTGCAGCGCCCTGTATTGAACGTAGGAGATTTTGAAACCTTTCAGAATACCTGGCCAGCTTAGTCACTCGAAAGACTCTAAACATGCGAAAGACCGTAACAACAAACCCCAGCACTGCATTGTTAGAATTGACCGCCCTTTCAACCACCGCAATGTAGTAAGGAATTATTCCCAGCAGATCAATTATATTTGATGGATCTCTCGCAAAGTCTAGTCTGTAGGGGGCAGCATACAAGCGCGCTGTAAACTCAATTGTGAAAATTGCAACGCAAAAAGAATCCAGTCCAAAAAATATATTTCTGTGTGCCTTGCCATTCGTCTGATCTGACTCGGCGGGCACTGTTTCCGCTACGATAGCAGAGATGTTCAGAAGCACTACTGCTCCAAAGAGAAACCCGAATGCCTTTGATTTTTTCGAACTCTTGCTATTGGTCAAGAGCTGCCACAATTTCTCACGGGCTGTCCACGAGTCGCGGTCTTTTTGAGGGAGTTTACTTTCCATGGTTTCTATTTGTTTCTTCTTTTCTTGTTCCTCGTCTTCTTGAATAATGTGCTCACAGCAACAATCGAACACGGAATGTTGTGGGATTCCAAAGTACTTCAACTCATCCAACACAGCTTCCATACAGCACACAGTTGGCGCAGGCGAGTGAAAACTTCCATGTCGATAGAAGTCGGCTATGTTCTTGAAAATAACTGGATCGCGGTCGAAAAAGTATTCCTTCCTCTCCGCATCATAGAAAAAATTTTTCCTCTCGCTGCCAAGAAGCGTGTCGGGAAACTTTTCCAAGTTTTTTTTTGCAAGTTCATATTTCGTTCCCCCTACGTTCACAGTTATTCTCTCTTCCTTTGGCGTGATTGCATTTTGCTGCGACGAAGTGCCACAAGAAGCTAGCACGCGAGCTGAATTGATCAAAATACGTTCGATTAAGGTTCCATGATGAACTGTATTTCCCTTCTCCAGTCCGCTAAGTTTTTGTCGGCTCATCTTGACTTTGCCGAGATGAATCAGTTTGTGTACTACAAGGGATCTTTGAATTCTCTTATTTTCTTGCCTGTCCATTAAATCTTTATGAAACGAAACTTGTAGAACAACGAATTGTTTTTATATACAAGATACGTCCTCTTGAAAAAATTATGTTTTTCATCGTCGGTGTCCTCCGGGTGCCCTTTATCGGTAATCTTGGCTTCTAATGCAACCTTGTGTTTTAAAAATGTATTAACTCTTTAAACACTTTTACGAACAGTGATTGGCTCGTGTACAAGTATGTAAGAACAAAGCAATAGGTATTTCTCGTCTCTGGAAAACACGCCGAAATGCAAATAGAACGACACAAAACTAAATGATTAATATTTCTGTCTTGACACATGTTTATCGATTTTATTGATAATGACTTCAACCGCAACAGGCCTACACAAGCAACGAGGAAATGTTCAAATGCACCGTTTGCTTAAAAAATGAATGGGGTGGAATGGCCAACTTATTCGAAAACTGGTCAGAAAAGATCATTAGAGGTTTCATACTCTTCAGTAATATCATTTTTAAAATTGAGCTTTTACACATTTCAATGAGAACCTTACTTTACATCCGTGAGTTCTTCATCGCCAGATAAGCTAAGTAATCTTCAAGTTCTTAAAACTTATTAATGTTACAGCTAATGAGAGTTCAACATATTTGAAATGGACTGAAAGACTAGCTGATGCTACATATTATCCCTTACAATATTTTCAACTCTAAAAGAAACTAGAACCTTTTAGGTCAACTGAGCTCCGATCTTGACTCCTTGCATGAATATTGATGTAGCCAGCTGGTGTTCAAAAACGTATAAAATGTAAGTTTTGCTCGAGATCTTCCTCCAAAGTGGATTGTTTTAAATCAGTTTTACCACGACGATGTTTATGCTAGTTTCACTCAAATGTTCAAGTTTGGCTTCAGGCAAACATGCTGTGAAAGTTTTATTATTCAGTGAAATCTGCTGACCGCAGTGTGATGTTTTGGTTTTCCAGTTGGTGTGATGATAACGAGAGAAACATCGGCACGAATTAATTAAATCATTTAGCATTTTTGGTCATGATTTCCAGATGGTCATAATTTTAAATGAATATTGATTTAAGATGAAAATCTTACTCATATTACATACAGTAAGTTCCAAAGACAGCTAACAAAAGACGAGTTCCCGAATGTTCCCTGCCGCTGGAAATTCGAAATACTGAAGACGAAGGTAAGAGAATGTGATAAAAGAAGAGACTCGGATCTTTCATGTTCGCCTTGCCTATAGTGCAGTTATATCATTAAAATTTAACGTGCACTTCAAAAATCTTTTGCAATATGAATGAAAACTCTTTTGGCTGACACATCTCAGCCGAGCATATTGAAATTTAATTCACGATCAGTTTTTCAAATCAACTAAAATATTTATACTTGTAGATTCATAGCAAAACTTGATTGTTTCTTTTTTCACTAAAAGAGAGGTTTACGTAAGGAGTTGTGTATAATTTATAAACTATTTGAAGAAAATTAACTGACGAGGATACTTAAGTGTAATGTCGAATAACAGTTGGGCAGGAGCTGTCCTTAGCATTATTAGCCACTAATTCACTTAATTCATATGTTTCATCGCGAATTAGAAGTCGACAAGAGCAGAGAACCCCAGACAATGACATGTAGGGAAGAGAAATTTCAGTATGAATATTACTGTGTAACACATGGCCAATGTAATACAGCAAATTGCAAGAGTTCGTTAACATGTGTAAACATAGATTTAGAGATAGAGATGACAAGTATCTTGCGTGTCACTCTTGCAGTGCCACTAATGGGTCTCCACGGACAATAAAATGTTGTGCATTACCGGTTGGTGCTATTTCGACGAAAGGTATGCATGTTACACGAGCCTGTGCGTTTATATCTCCTTTTACCTAAGTGTAAACCCTCGTTAATCAAGGCTTGAGTTGCTTTACATTTTTTATCATACAACAAACGATTTTTCACTTTCTTAAGGGGATATTTACGCTTGTCGACTCTCTCAAGCGCAAAGGGGGCCTCTATGAATGCCAGCCTTCGAGATAAATGGGTTTTCATTGAATTTCAACTTTTACCTAACTTCCGTTTATTTCCTGTTACCATCGCAGCCTGAGATTAAGTAAAGTGTTACTGAGTGGAATTTATTGTAGCATAGATTCTGCCTTTTTGTCTTATCAGGAACAAAAAAAAATAAACCGATTATTTACCTTTTCAAGCGATTTTCTCCAATCCTCTTTACTACTTACACTTTTCATCGGCATTCATCAAACGCACCATTTATGAGAGATGAGGGGGCGTTTGTTGCAAGCTGTTCACGTTATGTGCTATCCTTAAGTTAAACATGAAGCCTAGCCGACAGCTCTCTGCCAAAAACATTTATTTCATGTTATTAACAACTGAGCTGTGTTTGATATTTGTTTGTTGCAAAAGTATGCGGATATTAGAATACTGCAACTCATTTTATTCATTTTTCATATTTCTTTTTCTTTGTTTTCAAGATTTCAAAGAGTTAGGATAAAGGATTCATCGAGTCCTTTTCATCTTTCTATATTCTGGAATCAGAGAACACGATTACAACATTTCGAAAAATTTCCTGTTCCGAATTTTACTAGAGGGTCCCAATCGGGTGACGGCTTTCACGGCTGACGGTTAAAATTTTGGCTTTATGACTAACGGTTTATAACATTCCATTGTTGTCACCAGAAATTTTTTACGGTTAACTTTTCTTACGACTTACGTTTAAAATTTGTCAATTTTTTACGCCTAAAGGTTAAACTTTTCGGCCGTTTTACGGCTATGGGTTGAACCCATTGAGAGCCTCCGATACTAACTCTGTATCTTTGATTCAGAGTCAACTTTCATGGTCGAACCTCAAATATCACTTTTATTTTAGCAATTGCAACGAGTTATCAACGATCAATAACGAATTGTCAGCCTGTGAAAAGCTGCAGAGCGTGCGGCTTTCTCAAAACCCATTTCCAAATGTTTTCAACATTATTACCACGTGCCCTCTATTTGCAAATTTCCTGTGACTATAAATATCGCAAGGCTGTAGGAGCACTCTGAACTCTTTGTCTTTTGAACAGCGGCACACGCACCGTAAAGGACACAAGCTTTGGTTTATCAGCGCAGTATTTTAACACAAAGCGCACTTCAGACTGATCCAGTTCCCAGTTGTATATGAAAATCTCATCCAAGAGGCCACCAAAATTTTTGCCATCAGGTAGATGACCCCCTATTAAAATGCGACCCCAAGAATCGGAAAGCTTTGGTTTTCGGGGATTGCCATAAGTTCCTTTCAGCAAACCGTTCACGTAAATCTTTGCGTCACCGGATTCTGAACTGTACGTGGCAGTCACGTGACTCCAGAGCCCTTCAGGTATGGCGACATCGTCAGTTTTGACGTTAAACGCTACGTCACCGTTTGAGGTTTTGTGTCGCCAGTGAAGTTTTCCGTTTACTACCTCCAAGTTGTAAATGTCGTGCCATTCGTCGTTGTATTTGTTACTCACGGCCTGGAATATAGAATGACGTCCCTTGGTTCGGTTCAAACTGATCCAGGATGCAATCGAAATAGCCGTAGTAGGTTTGTGGTGAAAGTTTCTCCCATCCAGGTACACACTTGGCATTTTATCGTTGGATGCGTCTAAACATGCGCCGCATTTGTCACAACCACTGTTTAAGATGTGTGCTCCTGAAATTAGGATTGAAACCATAGCCACTCTTAAATCTGTATATGGGTGTTACTCTATATGATATGGCCCACTGAAATAACATCAGGGGCTTAACGAAGAGGCCAGTGCGTTCATGAAACGTTACGAGTGACTAGCCAATACTTTTGAACAGATCAGCCTCACCCACGGCCCGCTGCACATTATAAGATAATGTTCTTCCTCAAATTCAGTTTTAAAATTCTTAGATATCAATGTATGCTGCTACTTTTGAATTGTGTGCATTTGGTTGCCCCGCATGCCTTATGGCAGAGTACGTGGAAATTAGATTGACACTGAAGGGTATTTTTCTGCAATAGTTCGATGATGTGTTGATCCATCAAAGTAAGGATCTGGGAAAGTTCGTATGCTGTTTTGCAAAACAGAGGTTTTCAAATGCACCCTATTACAGTTGTACAACACTTTACAATTAAATTTCGCAAGACAAGTACCAGAGTTAAATATATAATAACAGCAAATCAGATCGTAAGAAAATATCACAAAAAGCCAATAAGAATTCAAAGTTCACCGCGCAAACTTCTTAAAGTGCATGAAAACGCGAGTGACCAATTCGGGTTTTGTTCTTGCATCTGATTGGTTGAAGGGTCAGCGGAAATTTCCTTGACTAATCAAAACTAAAGAAATCCCACTGTTCTCTCGACACTCAAAACAAAATTTCTCCATCTCTTACCTCCCTCCAGAGTAGCATTGTTATCCAGACCTGACTGATCCATTACCTGGTGAGTAGACACGTTCGCTTTTTGGAATCCGTAGTGCAGGACCATTCGATTAAACTCGCACTTTTTATAGAGCATTTTAACTTCTGCTGGGGTTATAACTCGATCAAACATGAAAACATCATCTAGAAAGGAGATGAACTTATCCCCAAATTTCTGTCCTATTCCCGTGGCCGTAAAATCGTCAGGCAGACCTTTATTTTTCTTGCCGATTGTTTCAGAAATCAGTTTACCATTTACATAAACTCTTGCAACTCCATCCTTAGAGTCAAAAGTTCCTGCCAGGTGAATCCACTGATTCTTTGGAACTTTCACCATTTTCTTGGCACTGTCCTTTTCCTTACCGTCGTCGACATCAAACCATCGAACGAGACCAGGCTTTCGGGACTTAATCCACATGGCTATGGAAGCTGCTTTGGTCGGTTTCCTGGTGAAGTGGTTAGCTTTGTACATTACTTCACCGTGTTTAAGATCAGCAACACGACCACACGAACCTGAAAATCACAAATGTGTGAACAAATGTGCTCTGACCACCGTGTTCATCATTTTTGATCACAGAAACAACTATACTATAGCCGGCTCAGTAAGAAAACGTTGCGCACCAGTAGCGCAGAGGGGGCAGGCAAAAGGAAGCAGGCCAAGACTGTCTACGGGAACGATACGCCCTATAGCTTCCTCTGTTTTTCGCTCGGCGCTACTATCACTCACCGTTTTCACAAAAATTAACATTACTTTGTATTCCCATACCCATTGTCCGGTTTGATATTTCAGCTCCGTTGGCAAGATCAGCGTCGTTTGTATTCCCAGACTGATCATGTACAACCTTATCGTCAGGCTTGACAGGCTTCCCGTCAAAATTCAAGTGCATAACAGCACTTCTAGCTGAGAAAAAAATACATTAAGCAAATGAAATGATTAATTGGTGTAGCTTTGAAACCTCTTTTATCCACACAGCTCTTAGATGTTGCTGCATATTGCAGTTACTAATTAGCTATTAGATTCTGACTTAAAGGTCACTCCTCTAAAGTACAACCTGCACCGAGATGATTTTTGTCAAACTTTAACTATTGGTTGTTTATCTTACAGGAACACGAATTTTGAAATAAGAAAAGGGGATCCTCGTGATCTTTTAGGAGTACCTTCTAGATATTCATATAATTCCTATAATATCATAACAGTTTTATTTATGAGTGCTTGCTAAATTTGCGTTTCCGAAAGTTGAATTCCTTCTCCTACACTGAGAATTGGTTTATGTTTATTTTACGGGAAAAAAGTCAATGCTCATTTTCAAAAAATAGGAAAAAAAGATGGGTCAAAATTCTTGTTTGCATGAGAATGACGCTTTACCTCTGTGGCCAGCTCTGACCAGTTAGAAAAAGCCAAGAAATTATGCGCACTAAAGATGAGCAAAGTAGCACTACGTAAGGACCTTAAATCAGAAAGATAGACCCACCCAGTTTCCTGATTATTTCTTCTCTAATGGATGATGAAGGTGGCCCTGGCGCTGAAAAATTATTGCATGGTTTGTTACTTGTGACGCAAGCTTTATATCTCTGATGGGTTATAAAATATCGATGCTTACTAACTCTCTATTTTTTAACAAAATTCGACGTCATTTCCTGTATATGACTGAGCCCATAAACGGCTCCCAGCGCAATGCTGAAAGAAGAGCCGACGAGAAAACTAAGTTTGCAATTGTGAGTCCATTCCCTAAATACGCTCCGTCTTCAAGCTTGCTTCTGTCTTTTTTTCATTAGGAAGCACTTTTCGACTAAAGCAATCACAACGGGTAATCGGGACAAAAGTAAATTTAAAGGGGCAATACAGCTCAAAGTAAACCAAGAAAAATACTTGAGAAAAAGCGCGGGAAAACGCGACTGACTAAGCCGCCATTAGTCTTATTTTTTGGCCGAAAAGCTGATGCGAGTTTTTTTTTATACCAAAAGCGTTAAGCAGAAACAAAGCGATCCAGAATTAGTTTTGACAGTTAACTCAAAAGTGCTCTGACTTATGGCGGGGAGAAGTTGCCCCGAGGAATTTTTTTAAAATTACAACGGTAATGATCATATCCAACGTACTTGGCTTGGGTGCGGACACTGAGGAGGTAGTTGAAGGGAAAACACTTGGAGTTTCTTCACTTGGAGATTCTATGGAATAAAATATCGACTAACATTTCTGTTCAAGTGAAAATATCTCTTAGATAAAGAGAATCACGGCCATTGTTTTAATTCAATGCGTGACGATAGTAAAACCACTTTGAAGTAAATTGAATGAGATGACGTTCTACGAAGGTGCGTTTTCCAGAATAATCGAAGTTAGACGAGATAGCCCCGGTAACTGATTCTTAAAGTTGGCAAAATCAGATACGGAAAAAAAAGTGCTGTATAGTCTATGTTGAGGGCTACCCAATCGTGTACAATCTTCTGTTTTCTTGCTCTCTTATTATCAATGACAAATCTCTAGTGGATAATTCGTTCATTATGAGTGGAAGGCTGTAAAACTTTGTGCATGGGCGAGTTCCAAAAATCTGACCATGAGATATAATTATATCGAGATTTGTTAAATCTCATAGCCACTGCACTTATCAGACTTTGTACCATTCTAGGAGTTAAACGATAGATTTGAGAACAAACCTTCCAAACCATCCTGAAGTTCCTCGTTCCTTTCAGTCTTGTCATTTGAGGTGTTTGCCTCAGATTGGTGATCCTGTTCGCCATCTTCAGACGAGTCTGTGTCTGGTTCAACTGTGTCAGTATCGCTGACTGGTACACCTGTTTCTGATTCCGTTGTTTTGGTGTTTTCAATGGCATCGTCACCTTCTTCGTCGTCTGAACTGGGTCTAGTGTACTTCAGGGAATGGTGATGTTTGTGATGGGGAGTCTGGTACGAGTCTTCTTTTATAGCATTTTCAGTCGTTTCATCTGCGCGTTATGACATAAATCATACAATTGTGTGTAAATAAATGAGGAAAAAAGTCAATAACTGCAATGATGCATGTAACAGTAGAAATGTATTTGATGTTGAGTCATCCGGGATACTCCAAAAATCATCTGTCTGCGAAATAGCTTTTACTCGTCCAAAAGAGATGAATTTAACTCACTGTTCCCTGTTGATCGACCAAAATTGACATAAATTGTAACAAAACAGGCAAAAAGTTTTTAAAATCAAATTAACGCTCTGTTGATAGGTCGCAAAGACCTAATAGACTTCCATTAAGATCAACGAAGAAATTTTAACCACATCTAATGGTGATATCTCTTGCGTAGCTCTAAAAATCCTCTTTGCATTCTGCCGATGAGTTTTGCTCATTGTGAAGAAGTGGAACGGCCCATGTCATCTTTGGCTTTGATGAAAGTGTACTTTCCTACTCCCAAAAGAAACATTTTATTATAATTGCAAACTAGTTTACGACACTGTGACTGTAGAATGACAGTGAAATGAATTCATGAAATTAATATTTTTTTTATCCGCACCTGCAGGGTGAGCTCCAACATCGTTTAACTCTTCATCTATTCCTTCATTATGTCCAATTATTTCTTTTCCATTCAGTCGGTCAGCAGTATCCTCATCAACCCAATGTTCGCTCTGTAAAGGTCTGGGACGGTAATGTCTTCTACCTCCTGAGCCGTACCTCAGTTTAGAAGTGGGATGCGATTCGTCAATGCCATCTGAATATTCTGAAAAATCAAGTTAAGGAAACTATACGTTTTGTCACAACTCAGTTCTTTAAGGTATATTTTCAACAGGGAGACAATGATTTATCGGTAATATCATTATCATTTCAGTTCCTACCGTACCTAAGGTGTGATGTAATCGGTGTTCTTTCCTACTGTGTGCACCCATACCATCAATATCCTCGTCCTCGTTGTAGCCGTTGTCTAATCCCCACATTTTCTTGTCATTTTCGTAAGCGAACTTGTCGTACTTCGGTTCTTCTGGCAACTGATCATCCTCTGGAGTAAATTCATTTCTAGCGGGATCACCTCGAGTAATAATGAGGATACTGATTGTTATCCAAATTTTCATAAATTTGTGAAGAGATCACCGTTGAGTAAAGCTGAATCTAGACGCTTCCGGATAACTCACAACACTCGCCTGAAAATTGATTATTTCTCTCATGACACACGAGTCAGCTATTTCCAACAGCAAAAGAACCCTGAGCTGAAGACACTGTACTTTTGCCGGGATTGCAAATGAGTCAATCGGACTGATAAAGTTAAGAAAATCAGATTACATTTAAAACTTACTTTGACTTCTAATAATATCATCTGACAGATGTGACCTAGAATTGACATCCTCAAAGTCTTTGTACACCTGACTTGCGGTCAAAAAACTTGGAATCTTTTGCGGCGCCGCCATGGGAACATTGACGGTCACGGGTGACAGGTCTTGACCAAAAGAGTTCATGGGCTCGTTCGGTGCGAAGTCGCTTCTTGTTTGAGAAACCCGCTGAGGCAAGATGTGTTGAATGGGAGTCAAACCTAAAGTGCTGCTGAGTTGCTGTAGTGAGGGTTGAGGTGGTGCACGAAAGGAGATTCCAGAGTCTGGAAATGGCTGCTGAGGTGCAAATAGATTTTGAGGGATTTGGTCATTGAACGCTTGTTGCAGAGGAAATTGAGAACGGGCGTCTATGAAAAAAAAAAAAAAAAAAAAAAAAAAAAGAAAAAGAGCACTGATCTTTAAATCTCTTCAATGTATATCGCAATGCTGGTTCAGCAGCCGATTTCGTTGCCTGAAAGCGGTAGGAAAGATATTCACTGGTGTATCACCGACTTTCCTAAAGCAGGTCGCTGTCTATCGGTACTTTGGTGGTTTCTTTCGATACTGGTTTAGTTTTTCGTTTATCTTTAGCAAGGTTTCTCGATCGTTTTAATGAGTCAATTAGCACCTTCGTTGCCATCCTAAATACAATCAGCAATACTTACATTATGGTTGTGGTAAATTCCATGGAATAAGGAAAGTGTAAGTTACTTCTTATGGTGGGGATAATTGTCAGCAACATACTCGTAGCCGTTAAAACTCGCTAGCGACGATTGACCTATACACACATTTTCCGAGGTTTCATGAGACAGAGTTGATTTTTTTTCAGGAAAGTCTCCCATGTACAGGCATGAACCCCCGAGGATGAACATAATAGCTAATGCTTACACCTGAAATGAGGGCGAAACTGAAACTTTAGGTAACACATTTAATGTTCACATCTGCTTTAAAAAAGGGGTTAAGAGTTTACCTGGTTGTCCTAACAATGAAAGTTGATCCATTGCTTGAGGAGCAGGGGCAAACTGTGGTAAGAAACCAGGTAAAGACTGCGTTGGTAAATATTGTGGAACTGGTTGCTGCAGCTGTGGCAAAGTGGGTAGAAAGGGTGGATCAGGAAGTTGTCCAGGAAACAACGATTGCTCAAATTGTTGTGGATTTCCATTCCCTTGGAGGAGTGGCAATGGGAGTAGTACTTGTCTTCGTTCTCTGGGGTGATTTGGTGACAGGTCTGACACAGGATTTTTTGAGACGTGAAATCTACTGTTCCCTAGGTAATTCTGACTTTCTGGCCTTGCCTTCTCCTGCAAGGGAGACACTAAGGATTCTGCCTGGCCCTTTTCAACTGCTGTCATCTCATGTGAGGATGATCTTTGTTTAGTAGAATTAATCTTTGGTTTTTTTCTTTCCCAATTGTTTTTTACATCATTATCTTTCTCAAACACGTTGTTCTTCAGTTTCACATAATCACTTTCAGAGGGTAGAAATCTCTCCTTAGTTAAAATGGCCGGTTTGGACAGCACAGCCCCGGTTGGCACAGCTAGAGATGGAATAAATCCAGGCTGTTTTTTTAGATTTTCAGAGTTCTTTGTAGCTGCTACTTTGTCAAACGTCGATTTTATCACCTTCTTTGTGTGTGACGAAAGTGATGCTTTTTCCCTATTTTTAGTTAATATTCTGCTTCCGCCAATTGTATCTTTCTGGGCTGAATCCTTCGGTGGGCTAGGAACCATTCCACCCTGCGTTGGTTCAATGGCTGGAGGGCCGGTAGGTTCTAGTTTAGCATTAGTTTTTGGCTGAATTATTCCCATTTGGGTTGGCTCAATTGGAGCAGCGGTTGCTTCTGTCGGTTGTATGCTATTTGCTTGGACCTGTGGCAAGGGGCTTGATTTAGATGGAGGAGAAGTGGAGCCTAGTGAGTCCTTAAACTCACTCCCAAGTGGTGAGAAAATATGCGCAGGCAGAAGTTTGGCACCAGCTTCTGTTAGATACCTGTAACCTGGTGCTTCCTTACCTGATAGCTTTCTCGATCTTGTCAAGAGCATGTCCGATGCCGAAGACAGGTACCCCCGTATATGAGAACCGTGTTTTACCGTGGATCTCTCCCTGGACTTAGTTGAATGCAACAAAGACATAAGGAGGGCCTTTTGAATTTTACGTTGCATTTCTGGGGAGAGTTTGTTCGACCCAATCATATTTTTAGTACCCAGCTTAATTGAAGTCAGAGAGTTGTTATCGTGAACTGTTCGATTCCTGGAAAGCAAAGATGACAATGATGACAATGATGACAAATGCTCTGATTGATGAAGAAACGAAGCCTTCGACGCGGATGGATTCTTTTCATCAATTTCAAACGGTGCTTTGAAGACCGATAGTTCTGGATAAAGACTTTGTAAATAATCGGCTGCCGTATATTCTTTCGTTGTTGATTGGTCGTTCTTAGAAGAAGCCTCAGTGGTATTTTCCTGAGCTATTGTGGCGTTGGAAAACCATTCGTTGTTTGAATCTGAAGTAGACGAATTCGCCTCTAGGGAATCATTTTTCACAAAGGATGGCATCATTTTAAGCGATGGTGTCACTAAATCTTGTCCGTGGTGTTTTGTTGAGTTTGTGATCAATATTGATGAGTCGTCACTGGGAATTTTATTAACTGTTTTTGCGGACGACGAAAATGATGCTTGTGAAGAAAACGATGGGTCTTGTTTATTCGAGCTAGGTGGTAGGACCTGGTCTGAAACAAAATCACTATGGTTTACATGCTTGGAAGGCTTTTCTTGATATAAGGCACTGTGAATTAGTTCGTCCGAAATGAGATTATTATGGGTGACCTGCTTGGAGGGGTTTTCTTTTAGAACCGGTTTGTTGTTCAAGTCGACGTTAGCCATTTGGTGTGAAGTTGCCAGACCCTCGCTGACAGCTTGTCTCGGAGATGAAAGTGCTGTATCTGTAAATTGAACAGTTATCAGTCCATTAATCTGGCTGAGCCATTGTAAGACGAATGAATTTTTACTTGTCGAACAAACATTTATTGGTGGCTGCTTGAAGACTGCGAGGCAGGCAAACAGCAGTACAACCAGATGGACAGAACAGAATTATATACAGACAGACAACAAACAGGTTGACAGACAGCAATACGATTTTCTCGCGGTTTCAGAAGAAACTCATCTCTGCTGCATCAAGGAAAGCGTGAAACTCCAGCATAACTTGCACGATGATCGCAAACTACGAAGCAAAAGAACATTGCAGGAAAATGGTCCTGAACTTACCCTGTGACCACGAATCTTTGATAATCGCTTTAGCGATGTCATTCTCACTCTCGAGGAGGGGTTGGATTGTTTTTAAGTCTTCCCTTGTTGGTCCATTGTCTGCGAATTGCTTTGAATCCAAATAAGGTGGTGTTTCTTGGCTCTCGTTGGGTTCAAAATAATCCACCTTATTCGCGTTAGAGGGTGAGTTGTGTGTTTCATATTGACTTTGTAGAAATGACAGACTTGTGGAGGTGAGTTGATCTCGGTTTGTAGCATCGTCAAACATTTCGTTTGTGGCAATAGGCACTGCAGGTGAGGACATAAGCTGATTCTGCTGCCCAGTGAAGCTTCCTTCAGGAGACTGATTTATTTGGTTGTCGTAGAATGGAAGCGAGGACTGTTGCGACTGTTGTGCCACCGGCTCTTGTGATAACGAACCAGTCCATTGTGACTGAGGAATTTCGTTTGCGGCGAGAAAGGGAAATTGATATCGTTTGGTCTTTCCTAGAGGGAAAAATATGCTTTTATAAATTAAAATTTTCACACGAGGCAAGAAACAATAATCCTTGCCTTTTCTTTATCAAGGGTGTACGATTTCTTAGCCTAGACGGTGGGGGTTGCGGGTGGTGGTTGTCTTAAGTGGTTGGCTAAGGAACTATTCTCATAGGTATTAAATTTGAAATTTCCAACTCCAAAGCCAAGATTATCTAATGCTCTTGTAGCCAAAATCCATGGTCACACATCGCAATAATAACTGGGGCCTAAATTACTGCATCTGCAGCTAAAAATTGAGTAAGAAATGAGTAGATAAGCAGCAACCTTCTTCGTACTCTTTTTGCTTCTCCTTCATGGCGTTTGATGGTAGAATCACAGGCGCAGGAGCTATGAGCGGAGCAGGCGCAATGGCCTCCACCGGGGGAACGGCTCCTGCGTCAGGAACCAACCCAGAGGGTAAAACAACGGGAGCGGGAATATCGCTGGTGTATTCCGGTAGCAAGGATGTATAGGAGTATAGCTGTCGTCTGTTTAGACCTTGTAAAGAAAAGTGCAAGATTGTTGCATGCAGGGATCGATGTGGGGAAGACATGAACTAAGAACTAGTCTTACAAAAGGCGTTATTTTTCTTTCCGCCAAAAGAGAGAGAAATCTGGTGATGATCATTCCACTCTCCTGTAATAAGTTCTATCGCTTTAGTCGCGCTCATGAAACCCTGAGCTCGATCCAAACGCCCCAAAAAGTTTCCTGAAAACGCTATAGTTTCCAGAAATTGAAACTCGATGTTGATTGGCCATGGTAAAGCCTATGCGGTATAGCAGTCATTGGTCGCAACTAACGGTTCAGTCTCACGGTACTAAGTGTGATTCAAACCTTGTTCAAAGCAAGGAAAAAAGCAGTTGAAAAATGATGTAAAGCTTACCTTCACGTTTATGATTTCCTGATCGACAGAAAACGCCGGTAGCCAAGAACAAAGTGAACAAGGTAATCCGCCAAGGGAATCCCTCCATCGGTGCAAGAAACTCACTTGATAGTGTTTACTATATGGGGAGCAACCGTATGTTTCATGGAAAGTCTCAGTACTTAGACCTTCTAAAAAGTACACATAAGACATAAGGTAGTTTTCAGTGTGCACCAGAAGGCGCGTCGCTCTAACTTAATGGTTTCTAAGTATTTCGCATTCAGGATGCGATTTATGGTGACTGACTGAGATAGAAAATGAATTCAATTTTTCAGAATGGATACTGACTGAGTAAAGTTCTATTTCCATTTTTGGAGTACACATGTAGTATGTATGACGAGAATTACTAGATAATATCACGCCTTTAGAAACTGAATGCTCGAGTATAGTAAGCCTTCAAGTTTGACATCTGTTTTTGTTCTGTCTTTAAAAGAATGTGGTGCTTTATCAATCCCCAGGCTCTCTAGTGTAGAGGTGGCTTTCTTTCAGGTAAGTAGGGGTTGAACGGTAGCTCCATCGACGCGCGTGAAGTCAAGATCATCATTTGCGGCTAGATCAATTCACACTGCAGCGCCGCTTGAATTTACATTTGACCTCATATAGTGGGCCAAGAATTATAGGCTACTAAGCCCACCTGTGACTCGTTTATAATTTACCCGGTCGGAGAAAAAACCACCGTCTGCGAAAAATAACTGAAGCTAGTTCAGATTAAACTATTTTCACGGAAATCATTTCAGCCTGATGATGGTTTGTTAAATCTCAGACACGGATTTACCGGACACCTTTAAAAAATATATATCTAAGCCTCAGTTGAATTCCAAAAACTGACAAACTTGAATAAAAAATATTGCAAAAAAAACATCATTTGTGTCGAGTCTCGAGGGATGCTATTCTGACCAAATTGTTCGACAGTTTTAGGCCAAGCGGTTCAAAATCCATCTAACAACAGGTAGTTTGATTCACTGGTAACCCAAACAAATTCGACAGTCAAAACAACGTGAAAAGTTGCTACAAATTAAAGATAACTCTTAAAAAAAAATTCAGATCACTTACAATAAATTCGAGTTTCCACCATATTCTACCTTAAATTCCAACGCGTTGTGTGTTGGTAAGGCTTTACGCAGTCGCCATTTTGACCTCTTCAAGGATGTGTTCATTACATCACCATGCATTTCACTTATTCATTTAGTCGCGCTCGGCCGAGTTCCCATCTTTGTTTTCATTGGATCGATTAAAAGCAGAACCTGCTGGTAGACTCATTTACCGTCAGAGCGCGGCAGATATATTAAGTTGAGGAAATTGTTACTTTATAAGAATTAAAGGGTACATGGGGCTGGTTATCATGCTGATAAATTAACCACAATCTTTTTCAGAAGCATGGTAAAATTATTTCAAAAGCAACAGTCTGATCAGCAAATTATTGATAAAGAGGGAAGATTATTTCAACAAATTAAGATTATGATGCAGTTAGAAATCAAGAAAAGGCCAGAATAAAAATGTTATTATCGTTATGAGTTGTTGCACTTAATACATAATCCTAAGGACCAAAGTCTCGGTGTGCGAAGATTATGGCATGCAGACGTTTCCTACCAGTCAAAACCCAAGTTAAAAACAGTTCAGTCGCGTTGAGCTTTAGCAACTGTGAAATATCTCAGAGGAATTTTTCTTTCTTCAGCATCAGCATGTGCACTGTTACCATCTGTAAGCATCGTGATCATCACCGCATTATTCAAATCATTATCAGCATCATCATTCTTATTCTCAGTGGTGATAGTCAGTCTCATATCAGTGCCTTATAAAGTCTTTTTGTGACCCTGTACAGGTTAAGAGTTAAACCATACTTTGATGAGGTGTTGAAAGGCCGGGAGGATCTCCAAAGACTGGAATCGATGTTGTTTCCAGTCCTAAACGATCTTGTAGCATTGACAGCCCTTGCATTCTCACGTGTGAACTAATCCAAATCGTGTCACACAAAAATTATTATTATTATTTTTCAAAGAGTATTTCGAACATTGTGAATAATTTGGCCATTTTGAAACGATAATCTTTTTACTGTGATCAATCAAACTCAACAACTGCTAGCTGTGCTGGTTCGCGAAATGCCCACTTGAAACTTGTACTACGTCAAAAATGGATCCAAAGTTGGAAGAAGTATTTAAGAAGTGGGAGGCCCATAGTTCTGGCCCTTCTCGAGTAGCAAATAATGAAGAATCACAACGTCAGAGAGAAGAAAGGCAGAGAGAATTCCGTGATAATTTGGAAGCACCGTTCCGAAAACCCTCAAGGCACAGGCCAAGGAAGCGAAAATCGAAGGTACAGTAAGTGGAGTTCATTGTTGTTGTTGTTGGTGTTGCAAGGGTTCTTAAAGAGTACGAAGTCGGGCCCTAAGACCAAGTATTAAGACCTATCCGCTGCTGAAATCTCAGAGATCAGCTATGATTCATTTAGGAAAATTTTACCTCCAAAGGAATCGATGATTTCTTCGGTAGATGGTCTAATTTGTTGTTTAAAACACAAATGAAATTGACCTAACCAAAATAAAAATGACAAAATTTAAATTAGTTAAAGTAACATTTTTGATAAGCTTAAGAAGTGCTGACAGTAGCAGTAAACAATAACTAAACTCTGTTGAAAAAATTAAAAATCCTCAGAATAAAGACGATAGGAATATTGTTCAACTGAACGATATAAAAAAAATCTCATCCACACTAAATGCAACAATATTTTGGCGAGAATAGTCTTCTGTCAATACTTAAAATGTGGTGACACCTATGGGGAAAGGAAATATTAGTCTGGCTCAGTTAATGTAAAACCAGGAAGAAAGTTGTTTAAATATACCATTTAGGAAGCTCACCTAGGAAGGCTAGCTTTTCCTGTGTGATCAGTGTCTGGGAGATGTTGGCTTGTTGGACAAATTGAGTTGGGAAAAGTGTGGATAACAAGATTTGTGTTTTTAGAAGGGCCATTTTCCACCCCTAGAGGTAAAAGACACAAATCTGGATGTCTTTTAAATGGAGTCTTATGTTCTTTTGATTCTTTCACAGCATTCTATAAACTGGTACTTTCACAATTAAAGTCACTGTCAGGTTACTCAGTACTTCTTGTTTTGATTTAATACACGATTAGCGAGAGGATTTCAGTTTCAAGCCACTAACAGAGATGAAGTTCAGTGTGCCTCCTGCAGTGATTCCTTCTATTTACAAAAGAAAGCGGCCATTTATGGGAGAAGCTTGTAACAGATGTTGCCAAGAGAGTAAGGTATTCCATTCTGCTTGATTGTATGCTTTAAAACATTTTGTCTATCAACCAGTGTGAGGAAGGCAAGTAGAACACAGGCAAGTCTACTAAATTATGCTCTATTTTGTAGACCCAAATCTATCAAGTTAAGGCTATTTCTTTTCAAATCTATGTCTCTGTTATTTTCAAAACTTTCTGTGGACTAAAATTTGTAGCAATGAGGTGTGAGACTGTCTTGCTTTTGCTCTACAGTATCTAGATTTTGGCAAAAGTTTTTAATGTTTGGTACTGTATGAGATTTAAGCATGCCAACCATAGTGCTAAGAATGAAAATCCAGGCAGACATAGCTCTAGTACACTGATAAAGCCACATGAGGGCTGATGAACATATGCACAATCCAAAGTTTTTAAGAAACTGATTCTGGAATCCAGATCCAAAATCACAGCTGACCTGTAATCCTAATTCCATGTTTTAAAATTGCAAATCTGCTTAATACTTATAAAGTCTGTAATCCATGAGTTTTCTAAAGGCTAAATCAATCCACAAACAGATTTACCCTTTCCCCTCAATATGGATGTTTTGTAGTTAATAGTATATAATTCTTCTTCTTGGCAGACACTCTGTGAGGAAGGCAAACCTTCATGGGGTATGCACAATATTCTTAGCATGGAGCTTTTTAGAAAGTAAGTATAACTATTAAATCCTGAGAATGCAAATCACAAAAACCTCAGATAATTGATCAGCAGCCTATAGTCAAGATACTGTTTGTTTATCTCTCCATATTGTTTTACAGAGATGTAGCTCTTGCTGTTTTAATTTTATAACCTTTTTAAATAAAAGTATAATGTTGATAACTATATTTAACAGTTTTGTTATTTAAATGTTTCAGACAGAATTTCTTGAAAAGAAGTTTCTGCCATATAGCTTATGTGTGGAATTGTGACATCAGTCATCAATATCCTGATGTGAAGAAGGATGTTTTACAGTCAGCCAGGTTAGATTATGAAAGCTGTCAACTTCTTGATTATTTATTTCATAACCATGTTGCATGGAAATTTGTATTTTTTTTAAATTTAATTTACAAATTTGGTATATTGCTCTTGTTATGCCAAAATAAGTCCCTGCTTGGAAAAAAAAATTGTGCAAAAAATTAAAATGCAAAAAATTTTTACCTCCCGTCAAATTAATTACTGTGGGTGCCAATCAAGTGCCAGTTTACAGCATATTTTTTCATATTCATATATATTGCAGTTCCCCTTAGAAGGTTAGAAAAGTCAAAAATATCATTTTGCTTTCCTATTTTATGTTTTGCTGTTTGAACAGTTGATCTTGAAAAATACTCTACAAAGCGAAATTCTATTTCTCAAACAGCCTGAAATTTTGTTTCTGTAAACCCCAATCCGGAAATGAAAATTCCACAAGGGTTTCTCACTACTGTACATCTTTTCAGCCAAAATTTCAAGAGGATATAGAAGTTTATTACACAATCATACTGGTTCAAGTTTGAATATTTTATTCTTATTTATTAGAGTAAAGACCCGCATTCTTTCTCCTGCTATGCAAGAGCGTCCATCATCAGGTGCGTAAATTGGTCAAATTTTGTGATTGATAAACATGTATCAGGCTCTTTTAGAATAGATGAAAAATTGCATGTGCATGAAGTTTTATGGACCAAGTCAGGTTGAATAACGTTGTCAACCCAAGACACATTATTTTAATGTTTATAGAAGGTTTTGAATGTATGCTTGGGCAAGTTTGCAAAGCTTCAAAAAAAGAATCAACAATCAAAGAGTTACAGCACGTTTTTTTGAGTTGTTGCAAAGAAATGCAGTGGGTAACTCTTAAGGAACTTTCCAGCCCTTAAAACTTAAAATTGTGTCTAGTTTTTTTTAAAACTATTACTAGCAGTAACTCATTACATACCTATATTTTTCTGATTCAAAAAATAATAAATTGTAACCCACAATATCTTAGTGACCAAAATTGAGTGACAGCTGCTAGATGTAACATTGTTCCCCTTATTAACAACAGGTCAGGATATCAAAACTTCAGAAAAAGAGAGACACAAGAGAATCAGTAGTGTTGAAGAAAATGCAGTTAACATCCTGAATGGGATGGCTGCAGTTGTCTACCGGAAGTTTGTGAGGTAATGAAATAGCATTTTGAGGTTGCTGTCACCAAAATCTGGTCAAAATTTTGAAAGTTTCATTTTGCTGCTCTTTAGTTTGAGAAAGAAGTAAAGTTTAATTTTCCGAAAAAAAAAAAAGTAGAAAATCTTAAAAAGAACTTGAGATATAGCTAAAAGAACGTTTAAGGGGAACCTGTGTGGAAGTGTGAAAGGTGTCATAATTGGAAAGCCTCCAGCAGTGTTGACATTTGCTGTGGGCTTTCTTTCATGATCTTTATTTGCATATTTTGTTTACAGTGCATCTTGCACTGCACAGCAAAAGATAATTCCTAGCACATTGTGCAAAATGTTGAGAAATAAGAGTCTTCATCAAGCGGTCAAAAAGCCAAAAAAATGGAAGTTAAGTTTTTTTACCGTAGCTTGCTTTGCCCACTTTTCCTTCTGCTTTTCCCAATGTCTTCTGGATTTTGTTTAATGCCTGTTCTTGGATTTGCAAAATGACCTTTCCTGCAAATTTCAAAGGGGTTTTTATGTCACCAGACTTGCCAAGGGGTTCAATATTGCATTTCATTGCTCAATGGCATGACCACATTGACATGCACTTAAATGAGGTGCAAAAACTGTGAATTTCTTTGGAGGCCAAAAACTTGGGTTTTTTTTATGCAAGTTACCAATAGTCTACTTATAATTATAATAATTTATACTTTTATAAGCTTTACAGTGTTATAT